TATAATCTTACTGGGTTTAACCACGCAAAAACGCTACTCACATGATGCCTGGTAAGGACCTAATCTCCATGTACCCCTAGGGTCCCCAGGGACTTCCTATTTTGCGACAACACTAGCCCATCGCCCTAAGTTTTACATGTCCCTCGAAAACTCACTTGAGGGATCTAAGGGTTATACAAAGGCCTACAAAATTACCAATAGTATTGTCCCATACTCATCAATTTAGTCTGCGCTAATTACCTCAAACAGACCGAAAATCGCTGTGCTGATCATATAGGCCCTGCATTGCCCCCTTGTTTTTGTCTGCGGAATGTAGGAGCGAGGAGAACGAGAAGTGGAAGCAGAATTGGACTCGGCAGATGCGGGTGTCTTGCCATCTTTCTCCTGCATTTTTCTGGGTTATATGGTGTCTCTTTAAAGGCTTTATATACGGTTACATCAGGTTCTATAGTGGGTATACGGATAGGGCTTCGGAAATATTACCGCAACAATGGCAAATCGCATGGAAAAGAACATGGAAGATGTCATGGAAACTTGGGCCATGTAGCGGTGATAGAGGTGTTCAGCATTCTCAATTAAGATACCATTAAAGGAAGAAACCGCATAATTTGCTGTGTATCTACAGTATAACCGTCATTTAAGCTCCGTAACAGGAAAGGGGGCAAACCTTTGGGTGTTGGATTTAGGGTGTGCGGTGTAGGGTTTAGGGCAAAGGGATGCATCAAGGGATTCGGAGTTGGGCCCCTACATTGGACTGGCCCGTAGATAACAGTACCTATGTAATATGTATATGTGGGTTACAACCTAATATCAATTTGGGCTCCGACTCTTGGGGCCCCAACTCGAATCTTTCGAGGTGCAAGGCTCAGGGTGTGGGATTTAGGGTTTGGTGCGGGAATAGCGGGAGGTTCGAATTCGAGAGCGCCTTGCGGCCTTGATTTGCGCACATTTTCTGACAGGGACTCGGACGAAAGTATATTTCGTAGCCAAGTGTGTAGGACTGCCGACGTTTAGGGTTTAGGGTTTGTAGTTAGTGTTTTGTCTTCATTCTTGAGACCCAATAATAGTAGCATTGTTTTTCTTCTTTCATAGTACCGTGGGTCCTAGTTATCTTGATAAAAAGGCCCAGGAATGTCTATCCGAGCCGCATCTGGGTTCACTGCAGGATTGCGGGTTTAGGACTGCTTGGGCCTGACAAGTACGGTTTCCAAGCCTTTGAGAAGGAGTATGATTTAGGAGGGCCCCCTGCCCTGTAATAGTGGAATAATAGGAATACAAGAGGACCCTAGTATAGTTATTATTATACTTTGCAGTCACTGTTACAGGGTGGGGGGTCCTCCTAAAGTATGATATTTGTCCATGATAGGAGGACGCTTTTTGTTTGGAAGTGCGCAAATCTTGCCTGCGGTATGGAGATCTCCTGCCCGACAGATCATTGCTTGAAGCCTTATGGGTAGCTTGAAGTGGGTGCCCGTTCATGTCTTCACCTGTCCACATTGTCGCTTGAGCGCCAAAACTTATTTGCAGACTGTTGGACACATGCTATGAGGAAGCTCCGAAAACAGCAAACAACACTCGGTCAAAGAGCTTGGTATCCCTAATTCTGGACCTTAACACCCCTGAAGCCAAAACACTGAGTTTGCGAACCTTGAAATCTTGAGCCGTGAAGCAGATCCCTCACGCCCTGCAACTCTACAAGGTTATCTGGGGCTTATACTTACCCTATCCCGTTGCTGGGGAACTCGGGGGTAAGGTGCAAGCATCCAGGCTCAACCCGAGGCCCGAAGCCCCCCAGAGAAGCGCGGTTTGGGGTTTAAGGTTTGGGAAGCGTCTACCTGGATTTCAAAGTATGTCCATTGATAGCCATTAAAACCATTTTGAGTGGTTTTGGGCCATCATCTTATCCATTTCTGGGGTTCAGACCTGTGGAGGGCCAATTAGGACTGCTATCGCATGGGCGCGAACCCTAGCCCCCTAAACCCACGTGTAGCCCGCTGACCCCAGGGCTGTAGGTGCAACTCCCTATGCTGAACCCTACACCCCAAATCCCAAGCCAGAAGTGCTTGGGTGCAAGCCCTGGCAGTCAGCCCCAAATCCTGAACCCTGATTTTTAAAAGTGCCGTTGGTAAGGGTTATGATTTTGATGTTTTAGTCAGTTTGCGGGGGACATCTGTTGCTTGGAAATGCTCAGATGAGCTACTGTCAGTATGAGGCTTGTTAAGGGACCCTCATCAGTGGACGTAGGGGTCCCTCTTGCAGTTTAGTGTAGTCCCTATCATAGTCCCTAATACAAGGAACCCATGTCCAATAACTATCTGGGCAATATGAATCTGAACCCTAGACCTGAAACAACATCAGACCTGGTGAAATAACGTCTCAAGGCCCGTCTGAGCAGCCAGTTGGGTGATCTCGGCCGGCTGCTGAGTGTCCGACACACTTGGGATTTGACCTGTGTGTTTCTAGCCGCTACGTACGGCCATACATAGGAGTATGAAGGGTGTGCATGGTGTTTGCGTCTCAAGGTTGTAGCCTCCTTTAAGTGAACCGAATACGTGGGACATTGACATTGCCAAACTTTTAACCATTCCATTGTATGACTATGTAAACTGATACGTGAGCGTGTATATATACATACGTATATATACATGTATAGATCGATAGATGCCTGCCCGTTCCGTAAGGTTTGGCACCATTGAATTGCTTGGAAAGAATGGTTGGGGTATGCCGAAATCACAAGGAGGTCGCCGCCTGTTGAAGTTTCAGGGTTGGAGCTGCTGACGCGTTTCACCCCACACAGGGACCCGAATCTCTAGCGTACCTAGACCCTCCAATGAAGTTCCTTTGTGAGTTTGGTATAGATTGTTGGTTAGGATTCTTATTAGGATTACCAAAAAGGTACTACATTGGAATGCCTCGGTACTTGTTGTAGGGTGGCGTCGTGGGGTCATACTATCAGGATCATGGGATAGTTTTGGTTGTGCGGCCGTATCTTCCCTAAACCCTAAACCGTGCTTCAGGAGCCCCGCCTTGAATTGTGCATTGGTTCCTTTACTGAGGGCCGCAAATTAATCCCTCCACAAATATTAAACCCCTGGAAATATCAAATAATCCGGGGCCCGCAAATTTGTTTAATGTTAGGGGGGGTGGCTTATTCATTACGAGATTTTCATAGGGCTGCCGCCTTTAAAGTCTGTATAAGCTCCGTGGAAAATCAAGACTTGATTAAACCAATTACTAAATCAGATTAATTAAGAATGGAAGTTTAATCAATTGAGAGTATTGTCTGAAATTTTATTAATCCATTGAAAATGAACTGATAATTCCAGAACCCCCTAATTCATCATTAGGTGGTCTTCATCTATACGGGATGCCAGGAATAGCTTAGTTTGTACAAGACATACAGCTGCATATTTCGCTTTGTTTGTGGAAAGCTCAGCCGCACCATTTGCCTTCTCAAGTTTAAGTTGTGGGCTTGTAGGAGCTATAGTCTAAACCTCTTCAAGGGCAGTTATTTGGGGGATTACATAGGGGAGTGGTATAGGGGCTGTTCAGGGGGACGCGAGGAGTTCAGACTATGGCTCATAGAGGTTCAGAACCAGAAAACGACTCCTACCAGACTGCCGGCCTCACCTACAAAGGCAACTCACAAAGAAAATAGTCCCAAAATCCTGGGTTGCTGTTAAGGAACTTAAAATTAAGTTGCTGTAATAAGGAAACCATATTATTTACTATATAAACTCATCTTATGGTAACTCAAATTAGGTCCTAACAGCAGCCCAGTAAAGCAGCCTTGCGAACTATACATATCTCCTGTTGGGAAAAAAGTCCTCCGCCAGCAAAGCAGAAGACATCGGCACAGTCGTTGGCTTTGCGTTTTTGATACATAGCTATTCCTCAAAATGTTCCCCCCTTATAATCAGTGAGACCGACGTCATAACCCCCATGTGCACAGGATGGAGATTCAACTGATGAACTCAAGGAATCTGAGGGTTCATATAGAGATGGTTTGCGAGCAGTTATCCATACAGGAGCATTAAATGGAAAAGAAAGGGAACATAACATGGAAACTGGGATTATCTGGTGGTCGCGTGGGATATTGGATGCAGAAGCCTAAGTAGTCTGCAACATCATCCTCTCAGATCCCCATCGCTTTAGGGTTTAGGGGCTTTAACATAATGAACAGTCCTCTTTTGCATGTATTTATGCCCCTACATAGGTAGACCCTCCAAGTAGTTTTGCCTAACTTGGTTCTTTGGGTTTCTTCAGAACTTCTCCAGCATTAGTGTGCTACAAGAGTCCAAAGTCAAGACCAAACTTAGAATCCTGACCTATCAGAGCTACCCCAAAAAAGGTATCTCAGGCTTGAGTTCCAAGCTCTAGACTCGGGCTTTAACGCTCCGGGTGCCTACCTAAAGAGATCTTTAACTTAAACCATTGGGAGATCCCAGTCTTGCAGCAAGAGCAATTTAGATTGGAGATACGTAGCATGACCCTAGGTCTTGAAACCTTGCACCGTAACTCCTAAACATGGAAGCACGCTGAAGTGCCTATCAAGGCCACGGTCCCAGCAAGAAGAAGACCAAGGGCGCCGTGACTCGTGCGTGCTTCAGTTTTTCCTCCGGCTGAAATGATTCTGTTACCATTGGAAGACTAGGGGTTGGGAATAATTGGTCTGTACTATCGTTCTCAACAGACCCCTCTGTGTTCATCGGCCACAGTACTACAGAGATCATCTTGACTGTAGCTCCCGCTATACCAGAGTGGAGAAACGTAGCCGCACCCTGTTTCCAAACATGGTCGCGGAGTGCTTAAGTAACCAAGTTTGAAGGAGAGGGTTCCAGGATGGTGGACTGTTTTTGTGATGCGAGCCCCTACATCCTACAACCTAAATCCCTAAAACCGAAGCCGAAGGCCTAGGAAGAGTGAAGGCTCAGAGCTTTGGGACCGAGGTGCAGGATTAAGGCAGTGAGATACTTCTGGTGACGTCAACCCGTTACCATTAGGGTTTCAAAGCTTAGGGTTTAAGATTTAGAGTTCGAGATTTAGGTCTATAGTTTGGGTTGGGGTCCACGTGCATAAAAAACATATGAGCTACGGTCACTATTAGGCTTACCAAGGGACCGTTTCGGGTGGACATCGGGGTCCCTCTGGTAGTTCAGTAACATCCCTATGAATATATTCACAAGAAGAATACATGTCCGCTACTTAATGGAGATCATGAATAACGGTAGCTCAACAATTTGCCCAAGACCTGTACAACCTGTACTACAATTCCTGCTACCCAAAAAACTCAAGTAAGTAACGATTGGGTACTCGGGCCCTTATAGTTCAAGCCTGACATGAAGGACTCGATAATCGTCATATGATCGTCGGGGGCAAAATCCTCCCATGACTTTGGATTAGAGAGCCCTAAACCCTGAGCCCCGGATACCTCCTAGGCATTTTAGGGTCTAGGGGTTTAGGGTATAGAAATGAAGGGCTTATGATTAAGAATGAAAAATGAGTGAGACCCCTCGCGGGCAGTGCCTGAAACAGCTGCACCTCGATGTTTCATACCGGATAAGTACCAAGGGGGTGTATTAGCCCCATCCCTCAGACTAGGACCCTATTCTAGCCATATAATGCTTTTGGGGTTCTTCTTATAGGGGTTGAGGTAGCCCTTATCAATAAGGTTTAGTGAACAGACATGCCTGTTTTGCGAGGACTTAGCATCAAAAGGTTTACTGGGAGATATGGTAGTTCCCATAAGCAGGGAGACCTCAAAATAGACCCGCAAAGACTATAATCCTTAGTGTGCGGAATCTCAAAACTATAATCCTTATTACGCGGAAGCGCAAAGGGGTACGTACCCCCTAATTTTGAGGACCTCCCATGTATTACCCCTTTTCTGGTGTTGATGATTCCGCTGATAGGTGTCAATCTTATGCACCTAGGGTGCAGGGTTTAGGGTTTACAGTTTAGGCTTTACAGTTTAGGGCGCAGGGTGTAGTCTACACCCTCGGCTTCCGAAAAGTTAGAGATTCTTTGTGGTGGCACCCTAGAAAAGATTGTAGCATTTTGGAACATATCATGAAGGAGCCATAACTGCTGCAAAAGGTCAAATCTCAAATCTGAACACGGCAGCCCAGAATGCTTCACCTTTCCGCCCGATTCATCCTAAACCGAAATCCTAAACCCTAAAAGCCCTAAACCCTAGGCCCTAAACCCTAAAACCCTAAGCCCTAAGCCCTAAACCCTACCCCAACCCCCAAGCCCCATGAGGTTCTACCCAGGTTGTACAGCCCTATATGAGCTGTAGTCTAGACTCCTTAAAGAGGGGTTATATAAGGGATTATATAGGGGACTTAAGGGGGATACTAGGAGTTTAGACTATGGTTCATATGTTTTCCTATTGCGGACTCGGGCTTGGTTATGGCCCACGTGTTGTAGCCCAACGCCTTCAGCCCTAAACCCAAACGCCTAACCTAAACCCTAACCTAAACGTTAGAACCTGGAAGCCCTCCACCTTGGATGTGAAACCCCAAGCTGTACCCCGAAAAGACCCGGAAGTTACGCTTTCAACCCCAACCATTATCCCGTTGAGCTGACAATATCAGGGTTAAGGGACCGTTAAGGGTGGACATAGTGGACCTTCTTATAGTTCGGTATAGTGCTGAATATATTGCTGAATAAGCAACCCATGTCCATGAACTGTAGGGGAAATATTTGCTGTAACTCATATGCCAATGATTTTGGCTTTGAGGGCTGTGGTCGTGGTATTTGTAAGCATTAGAAATCAACCCGAAAGACAATAAATCCGGAATCATTAATCCAAGGCCCCACAACACCCCACCTGATCACCCTAAACCGTACTCCTGTAGTCTTCCTAGGAATGACTTTTCATTTTCATTGAAGCATAACCCTATAAGGAATCATTTGACAATGTTGTATTATACTCCTATAGGGGGATTGCAGTCATCTTCACAAACTCCAGACGCACAAGCCTTCTGAGGCTCCATGTCTAAGTTCATTGGCGCGGACGCATCAGCGCGGCACCGACAGACACTGGCACAGATGTACCAGGCAGCATTTGCGTTCTTCAGGAGTAAATATAGTGACTAATCCGTACATGCGAATCATATGAGTTGAATACTGCCGCCACTGTAGACTTGTTTTAACATCATAGCCTCAACAAGTGTCTTACATTTAACTGCTGCTCCAGGGCAGGAGGCGGTATCCAATATGTGAGTCCCTACATTTGAGTCCATGTTATGATTAGGGTCCGAAAGCTGGCGTCGTCGCCCAACGGTGCCACACGATCTGGGCGTAGGGATCAGGCATCAGAATCTATGGTACAGGTTGGATACTGCGCCCCACTCTATAATAGACACCAAATACTATTATCGTAGAACTTTTACACCCTTACAAGGATTCTTTTTTCAAAAATGTATCTTTGCATGCATGTATGGATGGACGGATGGATGTATGTATGTACAGATAGATAGATAGTTCGCTAGATAGATAAGAAAGATATATATATATATATACACGTATGTATATACACACTTATATATATATATATACACACACATAATCGGGTGGGGGCTGATCCAGCGCATGAGCATGCATACTCCTGTTTAGCGGGCTGATGCATGTGTACGTGTTTAAAGGGCTTTAGCGTTTACGTACTTTGGCTTCACAGCTGAGAGAGTATAGGGCATGTAATTGGCGATTCTTGTATCCATAGTTATTGCGGAACAAGTTAGATTAACCCGACCCGACCTCTGCCCAAATGCTGGCTTATAGAAGTAAATGAACGCAAAAAGTTTTAGTTCAGGCTTTGGAAAAATCGTAACGTACACTGCCCAGATGCCAGGATTGCCAGGCCCAACGGTTGAGGGATTCAGGCATTGATCTCGAGGTTTGCGGTAAACATTTTCACAGCCCGCCAAGAACCATGTAACCCCAGACAAGCTTCGTTTAGGATTTTAGGCTACAGGGCTTAGGGCTGTGGATCTAGGGTGTAGGGCTTAGGGTTTACTAGCGCCAAGGGTTGCATCATCTAAGTCCGGAAGGTCCGCATAACAGGTGCCAAATGGATACCTACGTCCAAGCCCAAACACTAACTCCTAAACCCCAATGGGGCTTGAGTTGGGTCTGTTGGAGGGTTCAGGATTCAGCTCCGGGGGACGAAAGTAGGTTAGTAATGGCGGCAAAATAGGGCTTATGATGATTCATAGGGATTACAAGTATACCTTCTATGTCACCCTGACCCTCCAACCAGTGTTCAGGGGTTCAGAGTTCAGGCCTGACATTTTGCTGTTTGATTTCATTTTAGGGTTGACAGGTGTAAAGTTTAGAGTTGAGTGTTTAGGCTTGTGGTCCGGATCTCCAACTTATCTGTCTTTCCCAGGCTATGAGGTGGGTAGCCGGGAAGAACTCTCGAACACAAGCGAACTTGAACTCCATACAAAACGAGGTGGCACTTTAGCATGAACACTTATTTCCTTATGGTTGTATAGAGGGACCTATTCATTCATGATTTGGGAGGCCTTTAAAGTACCACAGAAAAGCGATGTTATCGGCCCTGCGAGAGGCGTCTATCTGTCAGCTTCAAGTTGAGGGGGTCAGGGAGCTTTTGCCGGGAGCTGCTTCCACAGCGGATGCCCCTAAGCTGTGGTAAGCAGTGAGGAGATTTCCCTGTCATGCTCCAGACATAAACAGGTAGCCGTATTGCAAGATCAAAGCCCTGAAGCCCCCCTTTAAGCCATGCCAAAATCTTGCATAAGGCATTGTGATCTAGATTGGAGTTTGCAGGGCTTCCTCTGCAGGGTGTTTAAAATGACTGGAATATGGGAGGGTGTTCCCAAAATTACGGGCCCATTTTTGGGGTACCTACATTATGGATTATAGGACATTGGGGTGTGTTTTGGGCACCCCAATGTTTGGAAGTTACCATATGTGAAATGGACCGCTCTGACATGTGCGGATCAAAACAGGACTTGGTGCGTCCCTCAGAAGTAATTAGGCTATAGGGATAAGTTTGAGAGACTCCCTGCAGAACCGATGCGATTATGTTCTACCACTATGGGCTATTAGACCCTAAAATGCCCTATTAGGACCCTATTAAGGGTAGATTAAGGTACCCTTAAGGTCTAATAGCCCATAGTGGTACACAGTCCAGAGAGCAAGCGAATGTCCCTGGGAAGCCCAAAGTCCAGCAACAGCATCAACTTCTCGTAGGCATTAGGGCGTTTGCGAACCTGTGCGCACAAATGCATCAGATGGTAACGCAAAGAAAGACATGGCAATCATGTATATAAGGCTTTGGGAGATTTATCGCTGTTCAGGGTGGTGAATCCTCCATATATGTTGTTGAGAAACCTAGAATATGAGCCTGACAAAATCTTTGCAAAACGCTGCATTCCTACACCCGAACTCCTGAGCCATAACTCGGAGGTGCATCCGCCCAAGACCAAACTGGAGCAGTTGGTGGACGGAACCGTCCGGCATCCTAGATTTCGGGGCTCTCTGTCTTTCCCAAACTGCGCTCAAAAGAAAAATAGCGAATGAATTCCTGGAGTGAGTGAGTGTCAATGTTAGGGTTACCAAAGGACCAGTAAGGGTGGACAGAGGGGTCCTGTTGGTAGTTTAGTATAGTCCTTACTATATTCCCAAAGAGGAATCTCTGTCCTGACTTCTGTGGGGAATATTGACTGGAGCTCATATACCACCCCCCTAGAATGGTCGCAGGGACCTCTCCCACATTCCCTACCAAACTCTAGACCCTGAACCCTAAACCCTGAACTCTAAACCCAAAACCCTGAACCTTAAACCCTAAACTCTACTAGCATAGATTCCATCATCGCTTCCATTTCCCCATTCCCAAGTAGAACCTGGAGGTTTGGGGGGATTCAGAGTTTCGGATTAAGGGTTGAAGGTTAAGGATCTGGGACGCAGAGTGCGGGGCTTAGGATCTGGGGCTTGGGGCTGAGGATTTAGGGTTCATGAGAGCTTAGGATGTAGGGTTCGGGGCTTAGGATGCAGACCCTAAGCCACAAACCAGTGACCCTAAACCCCAAGTCTCCAAATCCTAAACCCTAAGCCCTAAGCTAAAGACATAGGGGTTGAGGCAAACCTAAACCCAAAACTCGGCCTCAGCCTCAAGCCGCTTTTCGAGTTTTGCTGACTCTTAAATCTCCTATCCCTAATTTTAGCAACCCACAACCCCCAAATACTGCATGTTCTGCCTGTGGTGTGGTATGCAATAATGTATTGGGAATATCTAATGTTCAGGGGGTGGGGGTTCTGATATTAGGGGGAGGGGATTACCAGCTACGAGATGTACTGTATGGGGGAGAAGTTGTAAAACGCGCGCTGGAACTTTTGATCACATAATAATATTAATAATCATAGTAACAAATATATTAATAATATTAATAATCATAGTAATAATAATATTAGTAATAATATTAAGAATAGTAATAATAGTATTTATAATAATATGCTGCTTCAGCTCTGAGAGACGACCTTTTGGGGTCAGAATTTTAGGGTTTGGGAGGGGAGTACCTAAACCCCCAAAGCTGACCATCTTTACAGTTTCTGGGCCGAGCCTAAACCGTTTGTTACCTACTTTTAGGGTTCAGGCAGGCTCAGAGCTAGCAACTTTACCTTCGGTTACCCTCGGTTTAGGGTTTAGGGTGTGTTCGAACCCTTGAACCCCAGACCGCGCAAATCATTCACCCTCGTCTTCAATAGCCCTACTACCCAATATAAAGCATTTCTCTGTGGTGGCCCACATACATTGGGGCACATGCGTAGCAGGGGATCGGAAGCGGTTCTTAGCATTGGAAAAACCATCCAAATATTTGCGAGGTACTCAGGATTTTGAAGGGTTCAAAGACAAGTTTTGGACAGCTAGTAGAAGACCCTTGTTTCTCTCTCCTCTGAATGCCTGCCTCCCGTTTTCAGACAAGCCCAGATTCCAGACCCTACACCCAAAACTTCGGATGTTCATGCTAAAGCAGTTTGAAAGAAGTTCTTCAATGTGGTAACGATGGAGGCTGTTAGACCTTAAGTACGGCTTCTATACATGGGTGTTTTAGGGTGGATGTAATATCGAAACTGAACACGCAACCGGCCGTCAGATGTGGGTTTTCCCTACTACCAGCCTCTTTGCTACCCCAAGGTTCCCCCCAGGTAAGCCGTAGCTATAAATCCCTAACTCTATTCAAGACAGCCCTACTTGGAGGGTTGGAGGAACTTCCTAAGTATACTTACAACCCTGTGAACCAAAGTATACTTACAACCCTGTGAACCATATGATAAGCCATTCATCCCCATTGTTCACCACGTACCTACGAAGTCCCCCTCACCCTCCAAGTAGTTCACGGAAACCTTGGGGGTACGGGATGCCATGTTTAGTCTGCTCTTCAGGCCAGGGTCTAGCCCACGGCTGAACTAATGCCGAGGCTGTTTAAGTTTAGGATTGGGGGGGTTTGCGTTGGGGGAATAGTTTGCAGGGTTCAGAGTTTAGGGGCTAGAGTTAAGGGAACCGTTTCCAGTAATACTCCCTTGGTATCCTTTTGTAGCTGTAGAATAACCTACCCCAAAACCCAACTGTAAGTAATTTAGGGCCCTACACCACCCTTCTCCATTCTGACATCATACCCCCATTGCACCGTTTGCTGAGCGTTCTATTCAGAATTTAGTTTGGGATCCGTGTCCCCTTAACCCTGAAGCTTAACCGTGTTGCGGAAGGTATACCTCCACCCTACCAGCCGTCTAAAGCCCAGGACGCGTTCGTTAATGGTTTAGAGTTTAGGGTTGATACTATGCATGTCACGAATGTGTCGTAATTTTCCCAACTATTAAAATAGCGTTAACAGTTGTGAGTAGGTGTGTTGACTGTTCATACTTTAATCCGTGCCCCGGCTACAAGTGTATAGTTTTTAGGGCTTGAAAAACTAGGTCGTCAGCAGTTCCTTGGCCCTTCGTGCTCCTAGATCGTTTCGAGTCGTCCGTACTGGTATTTTTGATATGTTTCTTTTTGAGGCCCACCCCTCATCTCCAGAACCCTGAACCCTAAACCCTAGGCCTAGACCCCTAAAAGACCCTAAACCTAGCTAGAATCCTTGAACCTAAGGCCACTATCTGGTTCCTTGTGCTAAGCCCTGAACCCCTGAACCCTAAGCCTTGAGCCGTGACCCTCAGCCCTGCATACAACCCAGAACCTAAGGTTGCCAGTATGGGCCCTTACTGTGGGGTTAGTGATTAGGGTGGGTTCAGGCTTTGGGGTCCTTCGCACTTTCAGGTGGGTTTTCTAGTTGCCCTCAAGGGTGCCCCCTGTAGTCTCTATCAGGTCTATAAGGACCCCAGGATCAGGCCCCAGACTAGAAGTACATGGTTTTAATCTGGACTGAGACCAAAGCTCTACATCCCCAGCCCTAGCCTCCCCAAGCCGAAAACCCTAAACCCTCAGCCCTAAAGCCTAAGCCCTATAGTCCCCCTTAAGTAGATAGAATATGGGGTATATGGGGATCTTATTATAATCTACCCAAAGCCATATTCTATCTACTTAAGGGGGACTATAAACCCGAAACTCTAAGCCCAGCTTGGCAGCTTTCGGGCAAAGAGGCTTTCCAGTTGGCGGTTGGCTTCATCATCTTTGCCAATGCAGTACCTCGACTTCTTCGTGCCTCGTGTTAGCTTTTGTTGGGTTTTGGGCTTACGGTTTAGGGTTTCGGGCTTCCCTGGTGCTGCAAGGAGAAAATTGGTGCCTCCCAAGGGTAGCTTGAACAGAGCCCATCGACGGGATCCACTCCGCAATCCTATTTGCCCACCCGGTTAAGCTGCAATGGAAAAGTTAGGATTTGAGATCATTACAAGGACCACCCTGAACAAAACCCTAGAACTGTGACTGTAGGTGAGTCTCAGATAAGTACTTGTAGAACTGTAGAGATGCAGTCTGCTATGCCTTGCCCACGAGAGCGAAGGAATGCTTAAAGGTTTGGGTTTCGGGTTTGCCTATAAAAGGCGGGCCCAGAATAGGGACTCCGTAAGAACCTGCCCAATGCCTTTTTAGGCTCCCTAAGGTCCTCTCTTGTTTGTGAATACGGGGCCTTCATATCTGAGATTCCTTGCAAGAATAAGTGTTCAACCTGGTGAGCGGACTATATTGCAGAAGCCCAAACAATTACCCATATTATGGTCCTAGATTCCTTGTATAAGCGTGCTGTAGGATACCTTAACCAGACCTCGAACGATGCTCGTAATTGTTTACGCCTTATACTAGCTCTACCAAAATCCTAGTTTTGGATTTTGAAAGACGAAACTAGACGGCTAAGCGGTAGGGTGAATGCTTGTTGTACGTAGGGGTTCGCAGGATCGCAAAGGGCAAGAAATCTTCTACCCAGTGCTGGAGCTCAAGGGTGTAAGTTTAAGAGTTTAAGAGGTCATGTTTAGGCTAGAGGTGTGAGGCGGACTCCCTAAGGCATAGCAAGCATAGACAGCAAACCGTCCACATGTTTGTCTGTCATGTTCATGTGAACCCTACTTGAATCCGAAATTTGCGCGCCGAAGGACCCTTGATTTGCATAGGTGTTTTAGGGTTGATCCATTGCTGCTATGAAGGAAAGTCAGCGAACGCTTCTGTCTTAGGTTCAGCTCCAGAAGGACATGATTGAAGTTGATCAGGTACCCTAAAACCTACATCCTGAACCCTAAAGCTCATTTATGAAAGGAGCCCTGAGAGCCACCAGGTCTTCATCGGCATCATGACGGATGTGAGTATGCAGAATGTCATGGCCACTCCACCCCAAGGAGGGCACTAACAAGGTCTTTCCTGGGATGCCATGAGGTTGCCGTGCAACCCCCAAATCTGCATCCACCCAGACTAGTAAAAGGAGGGATGGTAGCCCCATGAGAATGGGGTTGGGCAGTGTGAATACAGTTTAGCGTTCAAGGTTAAAGGTAACAAATAGCAGGATTGTCCCTTGATGTTTGGCAAAAAGCACGGCTCATTTGTAGTATGTCGTCGCCGGGTAGGCTGCTACTTGGAGGTTCATGGGTTTCGAGTGAGGCTACGAGAACTGTAGCTGTAGCGACCCAGACCCCTTGAAGGATCCAAAAATGGGACCTCAGAATAAATGTCTCGTTTCCCAAATGTAGTAACAGGGTCGTTCTGGGGGGGGCATGCTTTGGATCCTTCAGGGGTCTGTGTAGTTACAACTAAAGTCAGGGCATTTTGGGCCCCACTAAGAACCTTTTGAGAATTTCTTTCTTCCTTCAGCCCTCAAACCTTTAGACATCCAAGTAGGCACGCATGAGCCTCCAAGCATGCGACAATGAAACAATGATCACTGCCTTGCGGATGGAATTTTGAAAGAGATAGCAGGTAATATGGGGAAGTCGGTTTAGGGTTCCAGATCCAGGGGCGAAAGATTGCAGTTCAGATGTGTTATGTGCAGATGTGAAGCACAAAAAAGTTTCTGTCACCAAGCTATATGATGGAGCCTTACTGCTAGGACGCCCTGACTAGGGGCCCAACACTGTGCATAAAGAAACTCCCAAAGCCTGGCTACGGGGCGTTCTGAACTGAATGACCTCCCACAGACTGGGACTCCCGGACCCGAAGCCCTACAAACCTGGGCTCCTAAAGTGGGCCCATACCAGTTCCCTGGGTCTTAACTATAGGCTCCTAGTTTCCTGATGGAGGTTTTAAGGTGTATAAAGGTATTTAGGGACCCCAGGATTCAGGGCCATACTAGGGGACCATAGCTCCAACCTTTACATCTTGGAGAGGCTTAAGGGGTTTGGCCCAAACCCTAAACCCGAAGCCTAAAAGACTTACTGGGGATTAAGCGAGAGTGGGGGAGTGAATATAGGTACCATTATAGGGCTATGTAGGTGGAACTGTTATAGGGATCCACTCCCCCACTCTCCCTTAAGCTCCAGTAAAAAGAAAGGAGATCCAAGCTGGTTCCACCTGGTGAACCAAATCTTTGCCGGGCTGCCCAGAATTTTTGAACGAGTAGCATGTTATTCGGGGATACTACACGCCCAAAGCCCAATAGAATCTAAGATATAATATATATGTATATGTATGTATTCTGAAAGGTATGGTGCTCTATACGGAGTGCATGACATTCTTGGGCGTTCAGGGCAGCTTTTTGTTACAAGGCTAATTGGCCCGTCCCCACCCAGATTCAAATTCCCCGCTGATAATCAACATTCCGTAAGATTGTAGTATTGTTTTATACCACAATGGTGATGTTTCATTATATTGAATTTGGTAATTTTGGAAGCGGACCGTTTCATGAGATTATTTACCAACCCCTGAAGGACCAGCACCACTCCTAGCCCCCCCCCCCCCCCGCAACAGCAGGTGGAAGTCCTTGATGGGGTTGGGAAGTATTCCCATGAGGGTTCTTCGTGTTGGGGTTGACTAGCTTACGGGGGTTCTAGATGTTTTTGGTGGTTTCCAGAAATTCGGGGCTCCGTTTTGGAGTCCGGATACTAGGGATCATGATTCCCCCTATATCTGGAAACCTCCACTAAGTTTTGATTCTGGGTTTCAGATGCTTCAAGGCAAGGGCTTAGAGTTTCAGCGTCTAGCCCCCTACGGTTGGAAAAACTCCAAGAAGGGCTTCTAGAACTCTTATATAGTCTGAGTTTCCCTTAGGTTCTTGACGACAGATCCAAAAAAAAGTTTTGAAACGTGCCGGCGAGCCTGCAAGGATGATTCGATTGTGATGGACCGTGAATTAACTGGGTTGCTGTAAAGGAGCTTAATTTAAGTTACTTTATGGGGAAAACATATTAATGTTCTAAAGATAGCCATAATGGTAACTTAATTTTTGTGGTTGTTTCATTCTTCCTTGGTTGGGGTACCATTCGAGGTTTGGGTCTAGATCGGGTACTGCCCCAACCCAGTAATAGCCTTTCACAGGGTTAATGTTACGGCCTATGTAGAACTACTGTAACACTCTTATCTAACTGCTGGTTGGTGGCAGTAATTGCCCCAGGTCTGGATTATCTAATATCTAATCTACAAGGTTCCTGAAAATA